GAGTATTTGATCAGGAAAGACCTTCTAAGTCTACCTGGCTTCTGATCATGAAACAAAATCCACTGCCCTATCTTATTAAATGCTTTTGTTGCGTTGGGGCAGATGTATGCACACACTAAAGCACTTTCCAAAAAACAAGACCTGAGTCTTGATACAAAACTCACTGAAGCAATTGAAAGACCTTCCGCTGTTCCAGTTCATCAAGCTCAGTATTTCATTCTTGAAGAAACGCTTTCAAACCTGTTTCTAAGGCAACTCTTGTTCCATGCTAAAGGCAGACACTAAACCAGTTCACTGAAAATTATCTTGTTATTGGGGAAGTTACATTTTTAGGACCTGTTACACTTGAACTAGATGGTATCAGTCTAAACAAACAATGTAATTTGATAATGAATAAGTAGGAGGATGCACAGAGAAAACTAAAACCATTGTTTAACCTCCAAACTATGCTAATAGGTAGCACAATAGACATGAAATTCTGAATAATGGAGCTGTTATTCTAGCCCACCAGGCTGTCTCAGGAGACTCATAAGTGGATTTGCCCTGCCATGACTAAATGTAGCTCCAGTCCAGCATTTTGTATAGCCTAAAGTATCTCGTTGCATTATATTCTCACATTTATCTAACTAAATCAGTTTTAGAAGACAATATCTTCTTCCCATTAGAAAAGAGGCATATGTGCATGTTATTACATACTGTTTATTTGCTTGCATGTAAAATGGAAGAATCTGCCAGAAATAACTTGTTGCGAAAAAGACCATCAGTACAAGAATATCAGTGTGCCTGTTAACAATGAAAAGGATCCTTTCAAAAGAAAAAGAAGAAAAAGAAAAAAAAGACAAAAATGAAAAATATCATGAACTCATGAACACATGCATATGCACATGTGTTTGTCCGACCTGAAGTTGCTGGTAATGCAGAGCATACTCCAAGAATTATCTGAACCCAATTTGGGTTGGATTCATCTACAGTTACTTGGCATTGACTGGTTACTGTATTCCATTTATTTTTACAACAGCTACACTCTGCCAATAAAAGATCAAACAATTTTTGTTGCTGGGTTGAAGTTTTTAGAAGTATGTGATGTTCCTCTTGAATCTGCTCTCAGTTACAGCTCACTGAAGGGTCTAGCCCAGTGGTGGTTCTATAAATACAAGCATAAGCTGAAAAAGCTGCTCTTAAAGCAGAATGCACAAATCTCAAGTTTAGTGATTTTCACTCCACTCTATCTTGTTCATGCAGTTTCCAATTCTGAAAGTGGGTGGTTATGCAAAATGAAAAAGAAAAAAAAAATCTGTTTTGTGCATTGTGTCCAATTTTCTCTTGGCTTTTTACAGCAAAGAAACATATAATCACATCGCACTTAAAAAGAAGTCAGATGAACTCATCCCGGTTTCCCACATGTACAAAATGACACATTTTTAGATAAACAACATTAAAATGAAGACAGACAAGCAGGAGATTGTTTTGTTATTTTATTTCCAATTACTGCTAGTTAACTTTCAATCTACTTTTTTACTTCTATTTAAAAATAAATAAACACAGAGGACAAGATCTAAACAAACTACAGAGCTTCTTTGAAAAAAATAATAAAAAGTAAAACTCTGATGTTCAGCTTTTTTCATCCTCTCATACCTTTTATTGCAGTATCACTTGTGTTGCATAGAAGCCTGATTTCCAGTCATTTATAATCATTAAAATCCATATGGTTATTCTAAGAACGTGGGGCTGTATGGTCAGTGCCTGGCACAATTCCAAGTTAAGCACAGTGAAAACCCTCATAACAGCCGTAAGCCAGCACAGTCCTAACTCAGCTGCTACAGCAGGTGTCTGCTCGGTGAAAGTTTCACTGTCCTTTCTTTTTTTTTTTAATTTTCCTCTTCCCCTTCTTCCTCCACCTTCTAATTAACAGGCTGTATATGAAAGCCTTTATATTTGAAAGCTATATGAGATTGTGATCCCATGCAGTGGCTATTGGGAGTAGCATTATTCTCCTCCTGTCCCACACCCTAGAGGAAAAATTCTTCCTCCTCTGCTTTTTTGTTATGTGAGCATTTTTTCACACTCTCCATTTACTCTCATGCTTCTCTATTAATTCTTTCAAAGCTTCTTGCTTAATCACATGGTCTCTATATTTCTCTCACCCCTTTATCCTTAATGTTCCTTGACCATCCTCTTGGTCGCAACACTGGTTCTTCTCCTGCATGACCTTGACTCCTTAATGCCCTCTACTTTCTGTCCCATTCTCCTTGTTTCCTACACTTGCTGTCACTCCTCCTCTTCTCATTTTGTGTTAAGGTTCAACTCCATGTCCTTTCAACACCAGAAGCACAAGTGCATATTTGGCTTTGCAACTCCTTCATATCAAGGATGTCTTCAGACTCTTCTGGAGGGACTACTTGTCTCATGGTGTAGTGGGTATCCACCTCTCCCAAAAGCAATCCCAGTCTGGTAACATGAGCCTGTCCATAAAGTTCACTCAGGAAGTGGCTCACAGTGGGCCTGAGGCACTGGCCAGGGGGTAGTTATATTTGCTCTGACTGCATTTACCCTGTCATTTCTCCAAGCACAACGTTCTTCCTTTTAGCATGATGGGGCTAGAACCTGACATAACAGACAGAGAATATTCATTAATGTTCCAAATATTAGCTAAAAATCACTATATATTTTTTTGCCAAAGTTTCAGTTTTTATGTAGCTGAAAATATATGATGGAAGTAGCAGTCTATACAGACCACGGATGATTTAGAGATTCAAAGACACAAAGCCAAAATCTGTACTAAAAATGTGAGCACATTTGCAAAGTGTTTATTTTCTTCATATACACAACTGCCTCAATTGTACCTGCACAGTGGGTGAAATTCAGCGGGCAGGATAAGAAAATATGACTCTAACAACAAAAAAACACCAGCTACCTGTTGTGTCCTCCTCATTATGCACCACACTAATGAAGGGAAATTTCCCTCTACACAAATTGCTTTTGGCTGAAGCAAATTTCTTCAGTCTACCCTCATTCTATCTATCTTATCCTCTTTCACTTTATAATACTGAGAGAAAACCCTGACTATCAAATTTTGCCAAAAAAGTATTTCTGAATTGTAATCCAATTTACCACCAATATTTCCAACCAGTAATTTGCAGATGTTACAAATACATTTGAAAAACACAGTGAGTTCTACTATCTGCAGTCTTAGAAATTATACAGGGAAAGTCTTAAGCATATGGTAACTGTAAGGATTATGGTAACTGTAAGGATTTCTGACTGCAGTGCATTTAAATCAAAAATATCCTCATTAGCATCCTTGAAATAGAACCGTCCTTTAATGTTCAACAGTGCACCACATAGTGAATGGAAAGTTATTATGTCCCTGATGAAAATAATTTCTTTTACTTATTTATTTAGCTCAGTAGGCTCAGTAAGCATACCAGGGCAAATGAGAGAAAAATTAAAAATGTATGTGATAACCACACAAGTCAAATGACACCAAGATCCTCAAATTCTGTAATTCCATAATGCTAAGTAGCATTAATTATTCCCTAAATCAGTGTTGTAGTGTATGTAAATCCCAGTTCTGATATATTTAGCCTCACATTTTTTACCATTCCAGAATGTACTCTGGAATACTCAATAGCAGAATATAAATAAAAAAAATCTGGGCATGGAAGTGGTGATGCTGCACACATAAGTTGGATGGATTAGTTCATTGTTTTCTTTGCGCTTTTTTGGTTTTTTTTGCTTCTTCATTAGTTCAGTATTGGTTCCAGGTGGCAGAAATGTGCACACTATTTGAGGTAACACAATAAATTTAACTCACAGGAATCTGACTGCACTTCTTAGACCTTCAGTGATATTTGCTTACAATTTCAGTGGCCACAGAGCAGAAATTGGAACAAAACATGAAAACACTGCATAGCCCCTAATTTAGATTCCCGTATGTGGAGGACTTCCCAATAAAATCCAGACCTTTGAAAAGTGTGGAAACTGCTGTGGCTCAATAAAGTTGACTGAGTGCCCTCACCTGCTTCATATAATACTGGTTGGGGACAGGAGTGTGGGGAGAGAGACTGAGAGAGAGAAAGAGAGGGAGAGAGAGAGAGAGAGAGATAGACATGGGGGGGGGGTAGGGGGGGGAAGGGGGAGAGAGAGAGAAGGAGAAGAGCAAAACACCAACCACAAAGCAAAACAAACCACCCTAAAGACAAAATAGACTCAACTGTTAGATCTCCAGATTTAACCTTCTGGAAATTCACAAAAAGTCTGCAAATTTCATCATACTGCAAACAATGAGAGGCAGTACTTAATGTAGTGAATGAATAATGTACTAAACCAAAATAGAATGATTGATTGATTTGATATGTGGCCGAAAGCTTCTCTCTTCTGCAATCAATAACATAAATCTTTTCACTTTCTTGCCTCTCCTGCAGCTCCCTAATATTGCCTCTCTGCTGGGTGCTACACTGTTCTGGGAAAAGTTGCCCAATGTATTGTTCTGAGACTACTTTTCTCTGGGACCATGATTCTGCAAATAGTTGCTAACAACCTTAGTGCCACACTGAATGAAATCACCCTTCATGGAATTCAAGAAAACCATTTTGTTCAAATTATTTTCATTATCTGATTCTTAATTTTCCTTCACATAGCATTAGGAATGCTGCACCTTCAATTGTGACAAATTTGCATGGCAAGGTTTTATATTTTATATTAAGACATTGAGACAGATAAGAACAATGTGGGAAAGCTGTCAGAACACAATATCATAAAAAAATCTTCAGTTGTACATAAACCTTTGCAGTGATCTGAGACATTTTTTGTGATGGTGGTTATTTATTCATCTGATAGCAGAACGAGGTAGTTGCTGTAGAGAAGAGGAAACGAAAGGGGCCGTTCTGGAGGCTGCAGCCTGCTGGAAGACAGAATGAACGTCAGCAGGCAAATTAAAACAGATGCTTGTGTGGGCCAAGAAAAGATTTATGGGAGAAGGCAACAGAACCCTTTCCTGTGATGCTTGAACTCTGCTCAGAAATGCCTTCCCTTGAATAACCACAAAAGTGGAGAAAGAAGATGAAAAAAGAAACAGTATGAGAGGATGGTAAGTGCTGGAAAAGGAGGATTTGATATGTGATTCGCAGGGACGTAAAATCATTCTGTTTGAGCTATGTGTCCTCACATAGATCAAACTACAAATGAGCATTTGACTTTTGTTGTGTGTTGATGTTGAGGAAGGAAATCAGCTATGTCATTAGTCATGTATGTCCTCAACAAGTCTTGCTATTGGAAAAAAAAACCAAATAAACAACTTTCAAAGTCTGCCTACCACATTGGAGGAAAAATACTTTATCTTATAACAGCATTATCTTGTTCTGCATAGTTATTCCAATACTTAGCTGCAGTGAAAAATAAAAGAATTTTGCTGGATTTGGCTTGGGCATAGTTAATTTTCTTCACAGTGACCAGTATGGGGCTGTGTTTGTGCTGAACACAGGATTGATAATATAGAGATATTTTTGTTGTTGCTGAGCAGTGTTTACACAGAGCCAAGGCCTTTTCTGCTTCTCATACTGCCAGGTTGGCAAGGAGCCTGGTGCTGCCCAGGAATTTGGGAGGAGATGCCGCCAGGACAACTGACTCCAACTAACCAAAGGAATATTTCATACCATATGACATAATGCTCAGTTTATAAAGTGGGGGGAAGAAAAAAGAAGCAGGGGGACATTTGGAGCAATGGCATTTGTCTTCTGAAGTCACTATTACACTTGATGTGACCCTAGTCTCCTGGAGGGCCTGAACACCTGCCTGCTTACAGGAAGCAGTGAATTGATTCCTTGTTTTGCTTTGCTTGTGTGTGTGGGTTTTGCTTTTACTATTAAACTGTCTTTGTCTCAGCCTATGAGTTTTTACCCTTCCAATTCTCTCCTCAGTCCCACTGGTGGGGGATTGAACAAGCGGCTGTGTGGGGCTTAGTTGCCAGCTGGAGTGAAACCATGGCAGAAATCTAAACAAGTTGTTTTAAAATCCCTGCTTTCAAGGTGAGCTAAAACAAACAATATTGTGGCTTTGGTCAAGATGAAATGTTAAGCTGCTGTCAGGTGGAGTTGTAAAATGTAGTATTCCATTTACCTCTCAGCTTCAGAGATAGAAGCATGCTGTGACATAGTGAACATTTTGATCTCTGAGAATTTTCTTCAAATTTCAGAAAATAACCATGACCTCTTTGGATCTTTAAACTACAGTCTGGATAAAAAGAAATGAACATGGAGTTGAAATTAATTTCTGATCTATGTCCAACCAATCTCAGCATTTTAACCTTACCTCTGGAGCTGAGACATCTGAAGAAAAGTGTCTAGGGAAAGCTCCCAGGTGGTGACTCTGCACTGGCACTTTGTGTGCCCTTTCAGTCATTTAGGTCTCACAGCTCAGTTTATAGCAGAATATTATCTAAACCAGAGCTTCAATGCAGTTTTCCACATTTGCTTCCTCCATTTCTTTTATCTGAAAGCCTGGCATGTATTCTGTATGAAGTCTCCTTCACACTGTCCATTTTGCTCTGCAAAGAAAAAGCACCATTAAGCTGAGTTCCTAATTTCCACATATATTTTCAGGTCATTCTTCAGTCTTGACTATGTACATTGCTATATTATGTACATTTTAGTACACGCTTCCCCCATAGTAGCTGAGAAGATTATCTGTAGATTGTTCAGCATTTATTTCCTTCCCTGACTGCTTTCCTCACTTTAATGATCATTACTGGTCAATAATGCCACTGATCTGAGAGATGCTAAAAATAGTTTGGATACTTGGCTTCTGACACAGGAGCTTCTTCATCTGGGGAGAGGGAGACTCCTTATTGTGAAGCCAGCAAAAAAAAAACCCCAAAGTCATCCCCTACCTTTTCAGAATAGCATTTTGTTTCCTGTGAGCTGAAATGTGTTTCAAAACAGCATTCACTTAGTCCTGTCTTCTCCTACCATTACTTTTCCTTTCAACAGTGAGTTCCTCTTGTCGTCCTGCTGTTGCTATCTCTTTTTTCACTTTGCCTGTTTTCCTTTCATGAGAACTAGAACATGAGAGCTAGCCTGGCATTTGTATTTATAGCTTGCTTTAATTGAAAGTTTTGGATGTTTGCAATGAGAAACTGAAAATTAAACAGCTGTGTCTTTACAGCTCTGGAAATGCTGCTCATCGAACTCCCTGAACAATTCAGAAAACATCTCAGCTGAAGAACAAAACATGGCTTATGTGCCTGTGTTACAGCAGTTGGAGGAAAGTACTAATACTATAAATGCTTTATATTACTTTGCATAACTGGCATCACAACCTTTGTTTAATATTCAAGTAAGATTAGACAGATAAAGAAGGAAGGCAAGAGGAGGAAAACTTAAGCAAGCCTTGGTTAAGGCAGTCTAAAGGTCAAAATTATAATATTAAATAAATCTTACATGCTTTTATAAACCTTAATTTATTGTCTATGTGCAACTGACATTTTAGCTTTGGGTTTAATACCAAGCACTTCAAAGTATTCTTGTAGAAGAATAGTCGATAACCCTCTTACACAGTATAATTGGAATTCTGCATGTTAGAACATTTGGTTTCTGAAAGATTTTTGTAAATGTTAATAGCTGTCTTTTAAAATGGTGTAAGTGTGAAATGCTATGAAAAGCAAAGGTTTAAATGTCACCATGTCTATAATTTTCATATTGTAAAAACTAAATAAGTTTTTACAATATGAAGAATCTAAAGGCTGGCTGCAAGTTTGAAGATATAAGCTAGCTCATTATTAGTTTTTTTGAAACTGATATGACAGACACATTTTGTAAAACTATGTTAATTTTAGGCTAAAATATATAGTTGAACATTTAATTGTCTGGAAATGTTAGAAGTGCAAAGTCTTCCTATTTACTGGTATGCATGATCTGAGTATGGCAATAAAAGGACTTATCTGGAAAGCCACCTAGGGTATCATCAGAAGTATTGTCCTCATATGGTACTGAGACTGAAAAGCTACTCGTATTTCTCTTGGTTGAGCATTGTGATTTGCACCTACTAACAGGATGCTCTGGGACAGCTTGCACTATTTTTTGGGAGATAGGTTTTCTCTAACTGGAATGGAAAGAATAGAGGTTTTAAAGGCAAGAGTGCAGAGCTTTTCCACTCCCTTGCAATGACTTTTTGGATTACTGAAACTTCAAAAACCTGGTTTCCGTAGCCTGACCCTCTGCATTCTTTGTCAATAAAGTTAATAGCACAGTAATGAACGTGCCACAAAAAAGAAGGAACAATTATTATTATAATTATGCTGCCATATTTCAATATATTTTAACATTAGTAGTTCAAGACAGCCACAGTCTCAGAACTTTTTTGAGTGTTACCAAAGGTATCTTCCTTCCAGTCTGCCTAAATCAAAAGGACAATAACATTTAGGAAAACAGATAAACCCTTACACATTATAAAGAGCAGGTAACACAAACAGAAATCACTCCAAGAACCCTTTGTCCTCTCATGTAGGTTTTAGGAAGCCAAAACAATCTTTTCCTCACATACTGTAATAATAAGGATTTACTTTAATCAAAACAAGATAATGTTTGTGAGTTAAAAGAAAGTACTCTTTAACATGTCATTGCAAAGTCTGTGATTCCTCATTCCCTAAGATAATTCTTTAAACAGTAGACTTATTCGCAAGGTTTTTATCAAAAGAGTGCATCGAGAATTTCTACAATTTTGGCACTCACATCTCCATCCAGGAAAAAAAAAATAACAGGGACAGAGAACACATCCTACAGCAATCAGCTACAGTGTAGAGGATGGGAGCCCATCTATCAGGAGGGACTCACAACTGGTAGTTCATAGACTTATTGTAGCAGAAAAACTTCTACAACTTGAATTGTTGGAGCTCGTTAAGTACTTCCAGATCAGAAAAAGGCTGTGACATGTTGTGATGATTTCGTTGCAATACTGTGTGCACCTCAGGTCTGACAAATCTGGGAATGAGGGGGTGGCAGGGAGCAAAAGAAGAGAGAACGTATCAACCTGCGTGCAGGGAATGTCACCATGCAAGAGTGGACAAAAAAGGATGTTCTAAAGACTGGAATTAAGACAGTGTGGTAAGTTCTACAGGTTACATTGGAAGAATGGGTTTACTGATATTCTTTTCCATGGTTCCTTTTTGCTGACTACCATGTTGCTTCTATGCAACACAAGAGTCTGGATCTATTCTTATGTAGGAAATATTCTATTCTTCTCACTGTCCTACAAATTAGCAAGAAAGAGTACAAGGAGAGCTGCTCTAGAAAAGTGAAACTCAGTCAGACAGAAAATGAAGAATAGTTATATTAATTTAGCTTTTGTAAAAGCTACTGCTTAGCCAATCAGCAAAAATCTGAGGGGTTTTTCCATCAAAGAGTATTTATGGCACCATAACTCTCTGCTATTACCTCTTTTTAATATATATTATTGTTAAAAGGGACTTAAGGTATATTCATTTATAATTTACATTTATAATTTCATTTATAATTTATAATTTTTTGATTCTCCTCTTCTGTACTCATATAATCATTCTAGCTATTTTCAGCATTTGAAAATATTATATTACACATTCTGAAAGCCAAGCCACTGACCTTAATAAATGCATTTTCTCTTGTAAGAAGAGATTTTTTAAAAATTATAGAGGCAACGTAAAAGACAGTTGCTACCATCAAGTTTCTTATTTACAATAACAATGGAAACCTCTATCACATATAGAATCCAGTAGGCTAATATGAACATGCAGTAAATGCTAGCTAAATTATTTTATGTTAGAAAAGCACATTTGTTCATTTCACATCTTGAATGATGCATGATTTTATGATGACATTTCTCGGTCTCTGCATTTTCCTTTTTTTTCTTCAACTTCCATCTTTTCGGTTAAAGGAAATCATCCAGTGACCTTGAAATCTACACTGGTATTTTCCTGGCAGAGAAAGAAGCTCACTTTTCTCATTTGCAAAAATGAATAACAATTTGATCATTCTTAAAACTTCTAAAAGGTTAATTATGCTCTCTCCACGAGCACTGAATAAAAAACTGCTTTATCTCTGCCCAAATGAAACCCACAGGGCTCTCATTCTTCCTAACTCTGCCTGGAGACTAAATCCTGCAAGCTGTCAATTAACTCCTATCAGCTCATAGATCTGTGTGAGCTGCAGATGATTTTTTCATCCAAAAACTATGACAGCTCTCATTTACCAGAGCTGTTGGGTGACTTTAAAAAATTCACAGCAGGAAAGTGTTATCTGGGTTTGGGCTTGCTGGAGAGAAAGAGTGAGAAACCAAGAGGCAGAAAGGTCCTGGGTTAGAGAAAGTGCATTCCTAGCTCTAAGATTTCCGTCTGGTTGCAAAACCCCACTTGAACTCGAATTGTATGTTTTAAACAATAATAGAAACTGAACATGGACATGTACCAGAGAGATGTTTCCTTGATTGTTTGGTTTTGGGTTTGAGTTTGCTTTTTTTATATTGCTGCAAAATAGCAGTGAGCCACAGGCGAGACGATATTGGCAAAGGACAGAATTAGTAGAACTTTACCCCAGTGTCGACTATTTAGCATGCTGATATTACTTCTGGATTGAAAAATTGCTTTTTAATTTGGAAGTCAGAATAGTAATCTGAAAGTGAAAGAGTGAGAGACCATAAGAGTACAGTTTCACTTACCTTGCAAGATGCATGTTGTTTCCAAACAAATAGAGGAAGTAAAAAAATTGCACTGAGCATTAGGCAATTACTATATTTCTGTCCACTTATTTTATTTTTGTACTGTAGGGTCAATTCTTGAGGAGTCAGCTACATAACAACAAAGCCCTAGGAACTGGTGCTGATGGCTCTGTGTGTGTTAGAAACTTGAGTTAAAGTAATTAATTTTAGGTCTATTGTAAGTTGATAGTGTTACAATTAGCACATGGATGGGACTTGGAAATCTGGGTTTTGCTCATGGCCCTGCTTTGACCTTTGGAAAACTGTTCTTTCCCACTCTCTGATACTAATGGGTTAGCTGTAAATATCAATGCCTACTCTTGTAGACAGGCAAAATAACAGCTCAGTGTACATCAGCATCCACTGCTAGACACTTACATCATTCAATTTGCAACTGAAAAGAGAAATAAAAATTACAAATCTTTACTGAATAGAAAAAAAATGATCCATCTACTACATTCTCATCATCTGTAAATTTAAAATGCAAGTGCTTTGGGACAGGCACAATGAGACCTTATCTTGTCTCAAAAAAAACCACCCGTAGTAAATGCATTACTCTTCAGTTGTGAAAACAATTTGAGAGCTAATTTAAAAAAGAAATTAGTCCTGATGTAGTTCCACATTTATATTATATGAGCTTCTCTTTCTTTTTCTAATGTTTTCTGATGTGATGAAGCTGTCACCAAGTAAATCATTCTCAACATTAGTCAGTTGACTGAGCTCAGCGCAGGGCAGGATGCATTTTATCTGAGTTGTAATAAAATTTTACTCTGAAAGTACTAGGAAAGTCCCACTATTGTTAAATATACCAGGATTTCACATCAGTTCTAGCAGCATTAATAAATGAGAGATTCCTGGACAATCTGCTATTCTGTAATTGTAGACTCAATTGGTTAATAGAAAGGGAAAAATCAATATTTAAATAAATAAAAGCTAAAAGATAACTATATTGAGAATAACTTTTGAAAGCACAAATGTACCTAGAGATCTGTCTGATAACGTGGTACCTGATTTTAGGGAAGTTCCATTTTAGCCTTGTATCTTAAAAAATTATTAGTGTAAGTACTCTAATTTTTTGGCTCTAATATAATTAGAAATGTGGAATGAAATGATGAGTCCTTTATTTCTGACAAATTTCTGAAACAGACTGAAATGTGGTGTATTAAAACATCGCCATGAGGCTTTATCATCTTCTCATGAGTCAACAGCACAAACCATCATGCAATATATGTTGTTTATATGGCAATATTCTTCCACTTCTTTGAAAAGATCTAATGAAGGCTGCAAATTCTCAATGATTTAATTACATTTTAAATGCATCAAGAAATTTTAATGAAAAGATTTAAACATCTTAAATATGTTATCAATATTACCTAATGCAAAGAGAAATGGAAAACCTACTAGGCAGTAAGTCCTTTAAATGGCTGAAATACATGTGAAATATTCAAGTATTATCTGATTTCACTTCCAGGTTCTAACAAGTAACCATAGAAATTATCATCTTAACATTATCTGTAGAAACACATATTTTTAAATTTTCAGAAGTAGTCCTGGACAACACAGCTGAGAGCACAATGTCACTGAACAATGTTCCAGTGTCAGAATAAATATTTGAAACTGGAATTCAAGACGTAAAATCTCCGAGCACCTCGTACACTATTAGGTATTTTTATTTGTTCACCTGTTAGTCCGTGTATGAAGCA